TTTTTTTTTTCAATACAATTAAAAATTTAGAAAACATCAATGCGTTGACTTTTTCCACTGAGAATATTTCAACAGCAATTTACAGTTCGCAAAGCTTATTAAAAAAAAGTCTCTTTCACATAGAACATTATTCTACTATGATATCGAATTTCTATACCTCGGACCACTCTACTTTATTTTGCTTTAACAGTAGTTATCCTACGCGCTGCATCGATCTGCTATTTCAACAGTTAATTTCTGTTTTGTTTATACACACTCACTAATACACACGCACACACTCTCAGATAGCCACACATGAGCATAGTACGCACTTTATGCAACAGCTGCGTTTCTTCCCATAGAGCCAGTCTATATTTGAAATTAGTTATTTATTAACTTGGTTTGTAGATATTCGATCTTTGTGATAAATATATGATATATATATATACCATGCTGTATATATAAATATATACATAGTATAGTACCCAGACCCAGGACAATATTATTGAGTACTCTCACATGAAAAATTTCTTGAATGTTTGCTTTATTATTGATTTGTTAAGAATAATATTGTCTACTTTATATAGAAACTTAGCGTGCTGTGTGTATAACAAATACGAAATTTCCTAAGTTAAAGGGAACACAGTGTACTTTAAATCAATATTTAAGCTAGGCTTTAGGCTTCAAATAAAGGGATCGATTGTTATCGATAATGAGGAAATGGAACATTGATGCTTTTAGTATGTATATATGTGTAGCAGAAATATAGGTATACTTATCTATATTTATATGTATATATATGCCGTATCACGAATTGACGTGGTAAAGTAAGAGTGAGCTGCATAACAAAATAGCGTCTTATTATTAGAGTAGTGTTGGAGGAGAGGGATTCAGAAATTTAGCTGCTGGTGAGCGTAGCCCTGGATGTTGCTGAGAGAGAATGAGACGGCATGTACGTCTTCTGTCGAGCTGCCATTTTAAAATTCTATCGATTAAACTACCGATTTTTATCGAAGCTAAAAAAAAGGAAATATAAAGTTCTTTATGGAAAATATTTTCAGTGTAGACTTATCACAATTAAAAACAATTTTTTATTAAATTTTTTTTCAGATGTCCTCAACTCTATAGCGCATTTTTGAATATACCT